AGAATCGGCTTGGCTGGAATCCAAAACTCATGGTCGACGTGTGGCCGCTTTCTTTGGGATAGCGTTGCATCGGCTAATAAACGCAACCACGCTCTTCGAGGATGCTTCTACCCCGAATCGAATTTTTTCCCCTCCATAGGCTTATTATCGTCGACGTGGTCGAAACGAGATCGAACCGGAACAACGAAGAGGGATCGTTCGTTCGATATGACCGGGTTGACAAACGTTCTTTGATCCATCGACGATCGTCGGCCATGCGAAAGTTTATTTTCGATCAACGATTTCCATTCGTTTTTTCCGTATCGCGTTTATCCTGCCAACTTATCGAGTCGCTTTGCTCCGTTTTATGGCTGAATCTTTGTAAACGGACCTCCCTTTTTATTTTTTCTTTCTATTCTTCCCGCCCCACCACCATTTTCGCACAGATCGGAAACGGGAAAGTATGCATAGTCGACGCGTATCGTGGAATCCCAAGGGTGCAGTTAATCGTGGCAAATCGAATTTCCATGCTAGAAATCTCGACAAAAACCCGGGAGATATCGATAGCACCGATGCGGGGGGGATTGCCATTTAATTTGTATTTAAATCGGCTTTCGAGCTGTTTGCCCTCTATCCTGCTACTGCGAGCGAGCAACCGGAATACGATATCTCGCATAACGCGACCTCCTATTTTCTCAAAATTTTCATAAAATTAAATCGAATTAAATTAGGAATAAAATTTCGAACGGGAGGGTGACCGATCGTCGGCGGACGTCGGAGAAATAATAATTATGATAGATGTTCGGAGCGAAAAAATTCGTCGCCTGTAAATGATAAAACCAGCACCACCGTTTAAATTATCCGAGAGTTTAGGCAGAGATCCGGCCGATTCGGTGGTTGGTTCTCGAGGAAATTGCGATCGATCGATCCTTATCTTAATGCGAACGTGCAAATGTCGTTGTTCCGTTAGAAATGGCAATCTCGTTCACGGATTGCGTCGCACGAACGCGCGGTAACGCTATCGTCGCGACGATTCCCCGTCAGAGTAGTTTCGTGCGAGGGATCTACGTCGTTGACAGCGTTTACAACGTTCCGGGAAAACGATAAGCTCGATTACGCTGCAGATGGGCGATAACGACGAATCACGATCGACGAAGGTTGGACGAAAAAGCCGCAATTCGGTGATCCGATCTCGCGAAAGGACAAATCTCTGTAGAAGGTGGTACGATAATTATCATTGATTCGTCCCCTATAGTCATTCTCGCAACTACATTAATATCGGGCAGAAGGCAATGTCAATGGGGATTAATTTACGAGAGAAACGAAATTTAATGGAAGCTAATGTGCCACTTAAAGCTACTCGATCGTACCAGATGTGAAACGCTTATTCTTTCTTTCGCAGCGGTCCATTTCGTTCAATGACTCTGCATAAGTAGTTGATGTAAGCGCGAGACACGCGTCTCAGATGCATTGGATCTATCGATCACGGACGAAATGCGTGCGAGTTGAATAAAACTCGCGGAATTTGAACCACCGACCAAGCGATCGCAGCGGCAAGATGATTTGCATTAGCATCTACGAATCGCTCGATCGGTACGGAGTACTATGCATATTTACGACAGCCAGAAAAGGCTACTTCGATGATAATGCGGATTCCGTGTATCAATTATCGCGCAACGCTCTCGCGTCGAAAGTAACTTCGATCCCGTCCTTCGCCTCCGTCCATCTTTACTTCGTTCTTAAGAGTAACAGGTTTCGTCCTCCGAGGGAATTAAAACTTTGCCGCGATACGGAAATTGCAATGGCGTCGGGATCGGGAAGCTTTTAAAAAGCGCGCGCGGGATTAAAAGCGAGCCGCGAAACAAAACTTTGCGACGATGCGAGAAGCAAGTTTGATTTCTAACGCGAAAACTTGTCCGCGATTGCTACCGAGTTCCCATTCAGAGTCCGGGGAAAATATCCTACGGGATAATCGCGAGGATTTTCCGCGCCATATTTCCATTCCGGCGATACATCAGCCGCGACGCTTACGCGTATAATTTCGCGTTGATGGTCAGCGAAACATTTCGAATTAAAACGTGGAGCTTTATAGGATCACGCGATAAATTTGTCAGACAAATGGTCTCCCCATCCTCTGGCCGTCCTCTGTGCCAGGAAAATCGGATCGAATAGGCTGACACGAGTACGCGTATTCGTCGCGCTCGATATCGGTTCGACGTCGAAAAGCACCTGCCGCTCCGTTGCGGATTCCGCCGATTTCCCTCGATCCTCCGAACTCGTAAACAGACCGCGCCAACGCTTCCAATCTCGTCTCACGGATTTCTCTTCTACCCTCGCTAATCTCCATCGATTCCGAGTCGCGCGTAAAACCGAGACACACTCTCGAGGCGTCGTCTTTGCTCGTCCGATACCAGATATCCAGCCATTTGCGCGTGTTCGGTTGTCGGACAATGGCAACGCGGACATCTCGCGAATAATTCACGCGCGTAACTGGAATAACTTTAACGTGCCAGGTGCATACTCGTCGCAGCTTCGTCGCAGGTAATTTCCTTCCGTCGTTGATCGTCGTAAAATTTAATCCGATCACGTCGATTCGCCATCGAAACGCGGAGAGACGAAGCGAGGCGAGGCGAGGCGAGGCGAGGCGAGACGAGGCGATTCTCGTCTGTTGTTAATCGTTACGCGCGCAATTTGCTGCGCGACAAGTTCATTACCATCGGTTCGCTCTCTCGTACTTAATCAATGTATCCTCTATACGCGTTCACCCCTCTATACGCGTCTCTATACGCGCCAACTTATTCTCTTTTTTTTTCTTCGATGCTTCAATTTAAATGATATTTTACGCCGAAATTCGTTCAAAATGCGCGTTTAATCGCTTTCGCAATAATCGTACGATGTTGCGTAACGAGAACATCGTGAACTACACGTATTCGTTATGAATATATTCGTTATGAATATACATACGAATGTACGCGCGAATATACATGCGTGCGCGTTATGAATGTATCGGTATTGCGCTCGCGACGCACTTGTTCGCTTTTAATTCGCGCACAATGCCGATGCACCGTTTTCGTAACGACGTCGAGGTACAAACACCGCTCGAACGCCCATCTGAAAATTTTCTCGCGAATCGTCTAAAAATTCGCCTACCATGTTTTCCACGCTTTGTCTAGAAATTTCGTTTCTCCGTCTTGTGCACGAGTCGCGCGTAATTTGGAATCGGTGTCGCGTCCCCCTATAAAACGCGAGTTATCGGCAAATACTTCCCCTCGATTACCCATTCGCGTTGTACCGAGTTTCTACGGGATTCCAGCAACGAAATCGCGAAAAGATCGTTTCGCGTTTAAAGTATCGGCGACAATGGTTGTACGTCTTGCTCGCGATGGTAACCCATCGTCCTGTCCGAGATCTGTACGCGAACGTTTCGAGGTAGTTTTCGTTAGCATTAAATACGAGAGCGATCCTTTCATCGGCTTCCAATTACATTCTACGTTATGGAACGTAATTAGTTTTATCCGATTGCGGAGATCCGGCTACTCTCCGACAACGTCTTCGGCGAGGTCGTAAGATAGAATAAACCTCTCGACGAGGGAGAACCGTTACAAAGTCGCATTTCGTATTCCGTATCGTTATCCCCGCGATTACAATTTCTGCCAGTTAATTTCTCTCCCGTCCTTTTTTTCCCCCCCCCCCCCTTTTTTCCCTATTTTTCCTATTTTTCCTATTCTTCGTTCCATCGAAACATCGAACGCGAAGGCTTTCTCCCTTTTTAAATGGAAACGTACACCGAATACGAAGTACGAATTCGCGGGGGGGGTCGATCGATAAAACAAATTACGAGTTCCGCGTGCACCGGGGATAGCCTAGCTGCGAAGGATTCGATTTCGCGCGTTTGGAAATTGAAAGTTAAACCGGCAAAAGGGAAAACGCTCGATCTTTCGGGGCAATTTTCGGAAAAGATATATCTCGGAGCGGCACGCGTTTGCTCCGTTAATCGCGGAGGACGAGTTCGTATCTCCGGAGCTCGAGACGGTAGGAAACGACGTTCGGCGCGAGGACGACGAGACGGAGAGAAGATGGAACGAGACGATGGAACCGAGACACGAGTGGAAATTGAGCATGAACTGGCATTCTTTGACCGCGGCATCGAGATGCAGCCTGTGCCACGAGATTATGCAAATTTTATGATCAATAATCAGTGCTCCGAAGGAGGTCACATTGCGCCTATAACACGACCCGGCATGCATTACCATAATCTTAAACGCGGCTCTCTATTACGCCGCTTATTGCGAATAATCGCGTTAACTGCCGCGTTGCTCCCGTTGCCTCCTCCTCTCTCTTATCGCTTCCCGACATTTTGCAGCTGCACGGTGTTACCGTTAATCTTCCGGCCAACTAATAATTCCCGGTAAATAAGCTCGCTCTGTCCACCAGCCAAGAAAACGCAATTCCATCGATTATCGCGTCCGACTAGAATTTAGATTACTCCGGCGACTACTCTGTCCCTCTCGCGCTCTTTCTCTCCCTCCCTGTGCTTATCCGCCGAGCGGATAAGTGGCTAAATTCGAAAGGATTCCCTCGAAACGATACATCGGCCGCCTCCACCGAAAGTTACGACGCGCGTTACACGGCGGAATTTATCTCGACGTGAGTGTGGAAAACTCGATCTTTGCGTACTCGGCTCGACTCCTGCGAACAAGGACGAGGAATTCTACGACGATTCGTAATCGCAACGCGAAAATACGGAACGTCGCGGTTCAACTATACGCGATAAAAATGAAGGAATTAACGCGCACATGACGATTTCTTCGGCACGAACAGATAAGCCGAAGCTTATCGGAAACCATGAACTATGGCTCCCTGGTGTTCGCGTTAAATTTAACATCGATTAGGAAGGCTGTCGTCGAAGCGAAGGAGGAAACGGAAAGGAGCTTGCGCGCGTGTTTACGAGTTTGCTCGGCAAGCGGGAATGCGAACGGCTAAAACTACGGGAAACGTTTAAAAGATGGAACGAAGCTTACTCTTGTGTTTCGAGCTGCTTTTCCATAACCCCCGGAAGAAGGACATTCTGGCTGCCCAGCGCAGCACGAGATCCAACAGAATCGAAATGTTTCTCGTCGATCGCAATCTTCCAGAGCAACGGTCGTCGTGCGTGTGCGTTCTCTTGAAGACGTCGAGCTTCTTCACTCGCGAAACGCTGCACGATCCTGGATTTTAACGACACGTGACGCGAGACGACTCTCGGAGAGGAACTGTTACGCTGGACGAATCGCGAGGATGTCCGAAGCGCGACGGCAGACGGCGGTCGAACAGGCTGCTGCCATTTCGAGACCAGGCACGACGAGGTGGAAAGTAAGTTGGAAACCACGAACGAATAAACCGAGTCGAAGATTCCCAGTTCCTTGGGAAGGAGCGAGAGAGAGAGAGAGAAAGAGAGATAGACAGATAGATAGATAGATAGATAGATAGAGAGAGAGGAGCCGCTGCTGCGTGGAAACGTGCTATCGGGAAGACTGTGCGCCGCGATGTGAGCGCGTCCACACGGAGTTTATTCCGCTCCCCTGTCGCGTACATGCGCATCCCCATCCCCGTTTTCATTCCCTTCCCCGTTCCTGGATTCCGGTTCCGCTTCCGAACCGGATCCCCGCCGAAAGGATAAAGATTATTTTCACGCATTCGCGGTTCACGTTGCGTTATCCCTCTTTTCAATATTTTCCCTCTAATATCTTTTCCGCTTCCATTTTTTACCCTCCCTTTTCTTTCCTTCCTCTCCCACGCCAAACGCCATGCAAGGATTAATCGATCCGATTTCTCTTCTCGTTCTCATCCGAATTAAGAGATCCGTATATAGTGCTCTAACAAGTATCCGCGAATACTTATTAGAGGTTAAACGACCGCGTCCGATATCGTCGAAATGGGACCAGACTCCGGGAAGAAATAGACGAACCTCGTATAAGCGAGAAGAGTATCGCGTACCAGCCTCTAATTACGCGCGAGATACCCTATCTTCGTAAACTCGCTAGAATCAAACTTATCCTACTCGTCTCCCGGCAAGATAACCACCCTGGCAAGTTTTAACGCGATTTAACCAACTTCCCGTTGTTCCACGCCTTTGCGCGCTTTTATAGAACGGGATTGAACGCGAGATTAAGAAAGAGCTGAAAGAAACGACGGAGAAGACGGTTCCGGAAGGATCGCGTGGGAAAGAGGCTAGCCGTTGGTCGAATCCGATCGAGCTCCAAGGGCTCGCGAGTGATTATTTCGAGTTACGGGGGAAAATCGAATTTGCCAGGAACGCTGCTGCGGGGAAACTTGGCCGGCGAAGGTTCGGTGGAAGAAAAAAAAGTTGGAATAATTTAGAAGCAGCGCTCGAGATAAACCGTGGATCGGCGTGTAAGGCGAAAGTTGGAAATTATATTTCGATCGGGGAGTTTCCAGAAGACTGGAAATCGAAGGAGATATCCCGGAAAGGGGGGCGAAACGGTGCGGAGCGTTGGCGAAGAAATTTACCGCGCCATCGGGAGGAAACAATAGCGAGGGAAGGGCAAAACGGCGAAACGGCAAAATGGCTGCGTCGAAAGTATCGAATATCGATGAGGCAGCGATTCGTTGCTCGAGAAGGAAAAAGCTGGAAAGAAAGGGGAAACCGTGGAGACCCGCGCGCCGCGGCGCACGGTGTCGCGAGATGATTGGCAAAGAGAAACTGTCGGCATAATGTTTTTCGAGCAGCCTCCGCTGCAACTTTTTGCTCCGGCTTCGCTTCGGACACGCTTGGCGAAAATTCATCGGGACCCGCCTTCGTTTTGTTCGCCTCGATTTATTTCGGCATCTCCGCTCCGGCCTCCGCTTTGTCGGTTTGCCGAGTGTATGTATATATATATATATATACTCGAGCGGCGAATATCCCCTTAGAAAGTTTAACAACCGTCGTCGAATCGGTTGCGAAAGCAAAGTATCCTCGGAGACCAGGGCTACCTCGTTACCTTCTCGTGGAAGATTCGTTCGACCCGAATCGCTTCGGACCCCGAAACTATCCGTTATACCGCGCGTATCTACCGTGTTACGCCTTGCTATTAACCCCTTGGCTTACCTTTTACGACTCGATGGCGCGTGCCATGGTCAACGGCAAGGTCGATTATGTCGAGACACGTCGGACACATCGTGCAACTTTGACCGAACGCGACGAGGAATAACGCGCAACTGAGACGGAGAAACGTCGACTCTTACCCGTGATACGCGTGTTTGTCGATCGGTTTTATCGTTATAAACCTCGGCAAACTGCCAAGAGACTCTTACCAGCCTTTCCTTCTGCGCAACGGTACGTTTCTACCCCGGTGTGTCCGTTTTCCCCAAATGATCGATAAGATTGGCGAAATTACGCGAACGTACATACGTCGGAGCAATGGCACCGTGGATGAGACACGACGCGTAATGGCGTCTAATGGCGTCACTCGGCGAACGCTCGTTATTCCCTGTCTCTTGATCGATGTCCGTGATCGAAACGAAAGGAAATTACAGGAACGATGGAAAACGATTAACGTGAAAGGGGCTGGAGCGAGTGGAACCGCTGCTCCACGGTCCATGAAAATTCATTCGGGAAACGTTCTTTGGTTTTTCGCGCGATTTTCTCCCGTTATTTTACTCGACGCCACATCGACCTCTCTTTCCCGCGGTACAGTTCGAATCAACGCGTTCGTACGAACGCGTGCATACACGGGCGCATACGCGAGTTACCTGGGGACACTTGGCGAATTCCATCGAGAGCGGTTAAACGTCGTCGCGCGAACCACGCGCGGAGCGTGCTAAATCCAATTGCCAACTTCTACCCTCGCGAACGGCGATACGTCGACGAGTTGGACTTTATCGAGAATACGGGAGCGTTCGCGGATATTCGTTACCGTTTCGACTACTGCAGTTTCGAGAATCGAAGTTTTTCCTGACCGCGCGGAGGTCCGATTCGTAGCCGCGCGTACGTGCAACGGAAAGGATAGCGAATTACGCGTTCAGCCTCCGCGAGATCGATGTTTCGATGTCACCGTGTGCCGGCGGACGTTCCCGACCGATGCCCGGTAACGGTACAAACGAGTCTCGATCGTTTCTTTGCTCGAAACTTAGTTAGCGAGATCGCCGGGCAGGAACTCGAGCGAACGCGACGCACGAACGATCGTTTAAATTCGCCAAACGCTCTCGTGGCTTTTCCGCAGGGGAGAGCAGGACTCGCGGAACGGGTGGCTGATTTAATTTTGCCTGGAAAGAGCTCGTGGCGCGCGTGATGTCCGATCCACAGGTGACAGAAGCGACGCGGACGTCGAACGCGAATCGCGATAGAATTTCTCCGTCGAATAGTCGGAGGTGTTTCGATTCGCGATGCACGCGTGAATTATTTCGACTATTCCGGTGGCTGGGAACTCGGCGTTTCGGATTCGACTACGGAGCAGGGCATAGCCGGGTGGTAAACCGGCGGTACTACTTCGCGGAGGCGTGACGCGAGAAAATTGGAAATTGGCCTGACGGCGAGTAGGATGGAACACCGGTCCTCTGAACCTAGGACACGCGGCTCGCGCAGAGGCCGCGATGTCTTCCGAGATACAACGTAATCCCGGCTGAAACTAGTTTAGAGCCTGGCAGGGAGCAGCAGCGTTGATACATCGGTACCTTGGCATCGAATATTTACGTCGTAAAGCTAGACCGCTTTATCGTATCGCTCCCTCTCTCCCTTCGCTCGTTGCAAACATCCCGTGTCCGATGCTTAGAAATTTTAGCTCGCGCGCGAAATCACGATGGCGAAATGCACTCCGCTCGACGACTTTTTCCCAACTTCTCGTCTTTGCAGCTCCAACGGAGATACCACGGGTAAACTCGCAACTGCGAGCGTGCTCGGGTGCATAGTTAAATTCGGATGTTCCGGCAGATACTCGAGAAATATGTTCCATCGGATTGGCGACGGAAATCGCGTTGCCTCCGGTAGCCCGATTTCGTTTTTATCGCTAATCGAAAAGGGGCGGCAGAGGAACGCTTTTCCTCGGCGAATGAAATTACGAGTATACTCTGCCGAGCAGCGATCGTTTCCTATTCTACAGGTGATACGAGACGTACGTATAATCTCGTTATGGCTCGTCCTTTGAAACGAGAATTCGATCCCGGTAAAGAGTCCGTCGGCCGAGTATAAGATAGCCCCTTTCACGCGGCCAAGTTCGCCGATATTCCAAGCTTATTCCAACCGATCGAAAGGGCGGAGAGACGGCCATTTTTTCCTCGACGTCCACGCGATCCGATTTACTTCGATATTTTGGCGCGACGTAGGAAAAAGTCAGGAGGATTTTAACGTGGAAGTGGTTGCTACGAAAGCGGCTAAACGCGACACGGTATCGAAGAAAAAGGACGCCTCGCGCGACCGAGACTCCCGCCATTTTTTTCTTCCACTAGCCAGTTCTATCTCTCTCCCTCTCTCTATCATCCTCCCAGCGTTCCCCTGTGGTTCGTTCTTTTATGTCTGTGTTGCTTCTTCCCTGTCGATCCGATCATTTTTCTTCTTTTTCGCCAGCGGTCCGAGCCTCTCCACCTTTCTGCCATTCTCCTTTCCTCTTCATCTTCGTCCCGTTCCTCTGCGCCGACGATCCGGTCCGGTTGTCCCTTCCTTTTGCTCCCTTTTAGTCGTTTCGGCTAGCGGCACGAACCACGGCTCTTACCCGACAGCAGATCCGACCAAAGGTTCTCTGCGGCCACGAAAAAAACCCTCTTTGTCGCGTTGCTTCTTCCCAACTCCGACCAGTTGGCCTATCGACGCTGCTTCTTCCACGAAACATGGCGGCGCGCGATAATAACTTCTTCCTCGCGCGAAACGTTGTTCGTCCTGGTTCCCCATGGTTCCCCATGGTCCAGCGGTATACGCGTATCTTGGCTGTGCGACGAAGGAATTGCCGAAAAACTCGCAGCTGTCTCGCTGCGTTCGTCTTTTTTTCCTTTCCGGGACGCAGAGTTTCGGAAGATTTGGTAATCGATTCTTGGCTGTGCGACGAAGGAATTGCCGAAAAACTCGCAGCTGTCTCGCTGCGTTCGTCTTTTTTCCTTTCCGGGACGCAGAGTTTCGGAAGATTTGGTAATCGACGGTGGAAAGGGCGGATGGGACGAGACGAGAAAGGGGACGAGAAAGGGGACGCGAAAGGGGACGAAAATGATGGATCGCGCGAATAAGAAAAAAGAGGCGACCGTTAGGTGGCTGCAGCAGGTGGATATATCGCGTAGCCGGGCCGAGAAGTCGGCTGATGCAACTTCGATGCAGTCTCTCGCATTGGAAAGGCACGCGAAAGAATTCAGGGCTGAAAGTGTGTAAGTATAACGCGAGTCGTCGTGTCTTGTCTGGAAGGTTGATTACGGTGCATCGAAGGAAGGGAGAGGAGGGGAGAGAAAAAGGGTGAGAGGGAAGGACGGGAAGGCGCGCGGAGGGAGTAATTGGGCTGAACGCGAGTACGAACACGGCTGATGCAAGAATCGAGTCTCTGGCAGGCATTTCC